CTCCATCAGTTAAATGAGTTAAAATCAGAGAAAGCCCAGTCCATGTACGAGACCTTTCTAACGAATGGAACCGTATCTGTGCCTGGCGAGGGAGCTGTCGCTGTACGCATCTTGCGGGATACGGGCGCTGCGCAGTCGCTCCTCCTCCGTGGTTTGTTGCCGTTATCTGAGAAGACTGCAACAGGTAGTAGTGTCCTGGTTCGAGGGATCGAGATGGGTTTTCTCGATGTTCCTTTGCATCACATGCATCTTGATTCAGATTTGGTGTCCGGTGATGTGGTTGTTGGCGTTCAAGACTTTTTGCCAATCCCCGGTGTCACGTTTCTCCTTGGCAACGATTTAGCAGGTGGAAATGTGTGGTGCCGTGGTGATGTTCCTCCTGAGGTTGTGTCTGTGCCGCTCAGTCAAGAGTGTCCCGATGAGTGCGCACAAAAATTTCCTAAGGTTTTTCCCGCCAGTGTTGTCACTAGGTCGCAGACTCGAGGGATGAGGGATGCGGTACCTCCTCTTGACGTCGACATAAGTGACAGTTTCGTTGCTCACCCAGCGGAGTGTGAGAGGCTCTTGGAACTCACGTCCAGCCCGTCGTGCAGTAGTCCTGTACATGTGAGGAAGAATAAGGGAAAATTAGTGGAACCAGAGATATCGTTGTCTTTAGAGAAACTTATTAGTGCTCAACAAAAAGACCCTACTCTTGTTTCATGTTATAATGCAATTAAATCTGTTTCAGACCGTGCCGGAGAGAGTTCAGTGTTTTTTGTTCGAGACGGCTTGCTTATGCGGAGGTGGGTGCCTCACAAAGGTAATGAATGGAATAACACTGAGCAAATCGTTATGCCGACTGAAAATAGACGGGAAATTCTGAGTATCGCGCATGATGGTGTTTCTGGTCATTTAGGTGTGACTAAAACATTCAACCGCATTCTTCGTCATTTTTTTTGGCCGGGACTAAAGCGTGATGTGCGGCAGTATTGCAAAACGTGCCATGTCTGCCAGGTTACTGGTAAACCAAATCAGATAATTCCACCTGCACCGTTGTACCCAATACCTGCCGTGGGTGAGCCTTTTGAGAGAATAATCATTGACTGTGTTGGTCCTCTTCCACGGTCGAAAAGTGGATATCAGTATCTATTAACAATAATGTGTACTGCTACTCACTTCCCAGAGGCGGTGCCTCTGAGGAAAATTACTGCTAGAATTGTGTCCAGGGCTCTATTAAAATTCTTTGCATTTGTGGGGTTACCAAAAATCGTTCAAACGGACCAAGGAACAAATTTTACTTCGCGTGTCTTCTCCCGGGTCCTAAAGTCTCTCCAAGTTAAGCACAGTATTTCTAGCGCATACCATCCGGAGAGTCAGGGGGCTCTCGAGCGCTACCATCAAACACTTAAATCAATGCTGCGTGCATATTGTTTGGTGGTGGGTACGAACTGGGAAGATGCGATTCCTTGGATGCTAATGGCCTCTAGAGAAGTCGTGCAAGAGTCGCTTGGTTTCAGCCCTGCAGAACTAGTGTTTGCTCATGATGTTCGTACACCTTTAAGTGTCCTTAAAGATCAATGGATGAGCAAGCCTTCCTCTCGTTGCACAGTACAATTTATCAGCGACGTTCGCTCCCGTCTACACAGAGCGCGTGAACTGGCTCGAGAGAATTTAGGGAAAAATCAATCTAGCATGAAAACGTGGTATGATCGTAAGGCCAGAGCCCGGTCATTTAAACCTGGAGACCGAGTGTTGGTTCTCTTACCCGTGCCCGGTTCTGTATTTCAGGCGCGATTCAATGGACCATATAGGCTACTGTTGAAAAAAAAAAATCAGATCTGAACTATGTAATTGCAACCCCAGACAGGCGAAGTCTGTCTCGCGTCTTTCATGTAAATATGCTTAAACCGTATTTTACACGTCAGGGGGTTAAAACTAGCTTGTGTGACCTTAACGTACCTGGTCCAGTCGAGGTCCCCGTATTGCCGTCTTCACTGGTAGAAGATGATGATGAGGTGATTCCTCCGTCGCGATGCGTGGTTGAAGGTCGATTGAAAAACTCCACTATGTTGGCCGCTATTGTAAATCATTTGCCACATTTAACACCCTCTCAAGCAGCTGATGTATCGTGTGTGAGGTGATTTTCCTGAATTATTTGGAGATGTTCCGACGGTGACCACCGTTCTCGAACACGACATAGACGTGGGTGCCAAGGGCCCGGTTAAACAGCACCCGTATAGAGTAAATCCAGAAAAGCGAGCTATCCTGAAACGGGAAGTTGAGTACATGATAAAGAATAACATTGCTGAACCTAGCTCTAGTCCGTGGAGTTCCCCGTGCCTTTTAGTTGGAAAACCCGATGGCACTTATAGGTTTTGCACGGACTACCGGCGTGTTAATGCCATCACTGTACCAGACTGCTATCCATTACCGCGGATGGATGACTGTGTGGACCGTGTTGGCTCGGCTACATTTGTCACTAAAATCGACCTCCTAAAAGGTTACTGGCAGGTACCCCTCACACTAAGAGCAAAACAGATCTCAGCCTTTGTGACTCCCGATGCGTTTATGGAATATAAGGTTATGGCTTTCGGAATGCGGAATGCACCTGCCACATTCCAGCGTTTGGTAAATATTGTTTTAGCTGGAATGTCGAATTGCGAGGCGTACCTGGACGACATAGTCCTATATAGTACACATTGGTCCGAACACATGACACAACTTAAAGAGCTTTTCCGTAGACTGTCCAATGCGAAGCTCACAATTAATTTAGCCAAATGTGAATTCGGAAAAGCCACTGTCACTTACTTAGGGCGTGTAGTTGGTAGAGGACATGTTTTGCCAGTAATGGCTAAGGTAGCCGCTATCCAGGAGTTCCCGGTGCCCTGCGACCGGCGTGCGCTACGGCGATTTTTAGGAATGGTAGGCTACTATCGCAGTTTTTGTAAGAACTTTTCGACTGTGGTTTGTCCTCTCACTAACCTATTGAGCCCCAAAACTAGGTTTGAATGGACGGAATCCTGTAACCGAGCGTTCGAAAACGTCAAATCTCTCTTACTGACTACTCCCGTGCTCGCTGCGCCAGATTTTAATAGACCGTTTCAGCTTGCTGTGGACGCTAGCAGCGTAGGCGCCGTTGCCGTACTGTTGCAGACAGGTGCAGACCATGTAAAACCATCCCGTGAGTTTCTTCTCTAAGAAATTTAATC